ATTTTCTAGCCTTTGTATCTAGTGGCTGTCTGTTCTCTGACCCCAGATAAATTTATTAGAGAACACAATATTTTGGGGAACACAATACCACCACATAAATATAATGGGGAAAGGTCATCTATGGGCATATATGGTTTTTAAAATGTATGTGTTTGTTTGTTTTTGTCTGAAAAAGGAAGGGCAAATATCATTAGTTTTGAGTTGTGATGCTGAGGAAAACATACTGTTTTCTCTTCCATTGGGTTTAGCTTCAGATGAAAGATACTGCAAGTAATTTACACAAGGGAGTTCCCCGAATGGTTTCTATCTAAAAATTTCCTAGACTGATTTCTCCTTGCTGCAAATGATGTGATGGGGAAGGGAATCTCAGTTTACCAAGGAGGAGTAACTGTATAATTGGATATAACATGACACAAGATGATGAGAGAATTTGTCATAGGCCTTGTTGACAGTGGCCTACTGACATACAGATGCTGTGTCTTATGGAGTTACAAGGAATCAATCATGAAGAACATCAGAGTGAATGTAGATTCTAGTGTAAGTAAGAGGCTTTGTCAATTAGGGTGGTGTGGTGGTTTGAATAAAAATTGTAGCAGGAATCTTAAAAGTTCTTATTAATAAAATCAAACCCGAGACCAGTTATTGGGGTGAATACTGGAAGGTCAGAGAGACAGAATAAGCCACAGCTATCTCACCTCACCAGTTACTCAGATGGTCCTGTTTCCTCAGACTGGAAACCTCTGAGTCCTCATCCAGAATGAATCCCAGCTGAACTGTGCTGCTTCAAAGCCTGAAAGCTTAACCAGCCAAATGCTTAACCAGCCATATGCTTAACCAGCCAAATGCTTCTAGTTTCTGGTCCTCACGCCTTATATACCTTTCTGCTTTCTACCATCACTCCCTAGGATTAAAGGCTTGCTTCCTGGGACTAAAGGCGAGAGTCACCATGCCTGGCTGTTTCCAATGTGGCCCTGAACTCACAGAGATCCCAGATGGATTTCTGCCTCTGGAATGCTAGGATTAAAGGCGTGTGCTATCACTGCCTAACTAGTGGCTTTTCTGTTCTCTGACCCCTGATAAGTTTATTAAGGTACACAATATTTGGGGGAACACAATGCCACCATATTTCCTTTCTTTTTGTCTAAAATTAAAGATAGCTTATAACTAATACAAGAAAAACTATCCAATATACAATATATACAGCCAAAAATTATATTAATGATGTCTAGTCCATTAACATTTGATAGATTCAGATAAAAACTCCATTGTATCATATTAACAATGTCCAGTCCAGTAACAAAAAATGGCCTCCATAGGGCCAGAGGGAGTGTGTGGCCTATTAGGAGGTGTGGCCTTGTTGGAGTAGATGTGGCCTGGCTGGAGGAAGTGTGTCACTGTGGGGGCAGGCTTTGAGGTCTCAGACACTCAAGAAAGGCCTAGTGGCTCAGTCTTTTCCTGCTGCCTGTGGGTCAAAATATAGAACTCTCGGCTCACATCTGCCTTCATGCAACCATGATTTCTGTCATGAAGATAATGGACTAAACCTCTAGAACTGTAAGCCAGCCCCAAATAAATGTTTTCCTTTTGAAGAGTTGCCTGGTTTCATGGTGTATGTTCACAGCAATAGAAACCCTAACTAAAGCAGGTGGCAGCTGATACCACTGCACTGGAGCATTGGGTTTTGCCTGTTATTAGAAGGTCCAATCAGCACGAAACATGCACTGGATGGATCTGAGAGACAAAGGGCTGCTTGACTTCTGAAGTCTAGAGCTTGGTGAAACTTCTGTGAGATATCATTCTCTTTAGAGAGTTTGGAATCTAGATAGAATTTCATGAAGGAAAGAAAGTAGGAAATATGGGATTGAAGGGATGGCTCCATAGTTAAGAGTGCATGCTACTTTTACAGAAGCCCAGAATTCTGTTCACAGCCCCCACATGGTATCCATTTCCAGGGATCTAACTCCTCTGGACTCCAAGGACACCTGCACTCATGTTCATATACCCCCACAAAGAATAACACATGACTAAAAATAAAAATGAATATATTTTTTTTTTAAAGAATGAAGTAGGAAGTTTGAGGTTAGGTCTGAAATTATTGAACAGAAGCACTTCCTTATTACATTATTCAGTGACATTAAACATATTTGCTTGTGATTCAGAAACTAAAAAGGCCTGGTGAATATTAACTGGTCCTGATAAAGGTGGTGGTTTTTTTTTTTTTTTTTTTTTTTAAATAGCCCTGGCTATCCTCAAACTCACTATGTAGACCATGCAGACCTGCCTCTGACTCCTGCTTTCTGGGATTAAAGGAATGGGCCACCACACCGACAAGAAACAGGACTGTTCTTAACCTCTGAGCCATCCCACCAGCCCACCTGTGCACTTTTAATGTTTAAAGCTGAGCATCTTTTCTTTCCCTTCCAGTGAAAAGAAAAAATTCCAATGGAGAATGTCAGTTCCAAATAAATCCCTGTGAGTTCTGCTGAGTCTCCCATTGAGGAACAGGGGCTCAAGTCATCATTATGAGAGAATTTTATTTGAAAAGTGTCATCTTAAACTGAAAGGATAGCTGTTAAACATCACAATTAAACATGTTGAAGGAGAAGCCATGTTGTCACAAAACATCTGTTTAACCCATGCAGACATCTCAGTTCCATCCTTTGCTGACCTTCTATGCTCTCCTTTAAAATTTTTTTTATTTAAACAAGAGAAAGTAAACAGATTCGTTTTGGTAAATGCTAACTGTTTATATTCACATAGAGACAATGTAATCTCCGAGCATGCTATGCAGAAAGTAGGGAAAAAGCTAGAATTCCATGCACTACTTTACAGGGGCAGAGCAACCTTCCAGCATCCAGCATATTGAAAGGAATGGAAGGGTTTTCTTCCCCACACAGAGCACAGTGGAGGTATTGATTCCACAATGGAACAAGTAGGGGAAAATGAACGTAGAACAGAAAGGTGGAATCATTTTCCCTTTAATTTTGCTCAAGGTATTTTTTTTTTTTAAAAAATAAGTTGAAAACCATTGTCTTGAGGAAAGGAATCTCAAAAATAGCCAAGTGAACACAAGAGAGACAGGGGAGAAATAACTACAACTCACTCCCAGAGATTGGAGAAAATAAAAAAATTAAAAGAAAATTTTTTTAAAGATTGGAATCTATTGGTGTTTTTTTGTATTTTCCACCTCCGTCATCCTCCTCTCCTCTGTCTTCATCATCACCTTCATCCTCTTCACCTTCATCCTCATCCCCTTCTTCAATATCTTCCCATCCTCCTCTTTTTCTCTTCCTCCTTTCCATTCTCCTTCTTCATCTGTCCTCTGTTTTCTAAGCTACTGATTATGAGGGAAGGGGTCCTCCTAACATCTAACTAGCTACATAGCAGTCTGGCACATAAGGACAGAAAAAGGCTCAGTAGAGACAGATGGTCATAATTTCTCTAACCAGAGAGAGGAAAAAGTCACCACTGTCATTAAAACTTCCAGTTCCTAATCTGCTTTAGCTGTGAGTATTTTTGCAGTATAATTGAGATTGTTTTCCCACATGGCATATACTGATGTTTAGGGGATATGTCCTCTCATGAAGGCAAGTCAGTCACTCTTCCACTGACCTACTTTTTATGACACCTGTATGAAACCAAACTCTGTGGTGCACACAATGAGAAGAACTAGACTCTTGGTTAGTTTTGCTTTTGTATCAGGCATAGTGTCTCACACCTCTAATCTCAGTATTGAGGAGCCTGAGGCAGGAAGACTGTGGGGAGTTTCAGGCCAGCTGCACTACACAGGAAGAAACTGGAGCAGGAGTTTGTAACTCTGCAGAGTGCTTGCCTGGCACAGAGGACATAGGCTTGATCATCATCCCATAAACTCCATGTGGTGGTGCACACTCAGCCATCAAGAAGAGTAAGCAGGGCCTATGGAAATGAATCAGTAGTTAAGAGCACTTTTAGAGGACCTGAGTTTAGTTCCCACACTCATCTTGTGTGGCTCAATCATCCTAGGAGATCTGAGGACCCAAGATTCTGACCATCAAGGGCACTTGCAGAGATGTGAACATACCCATAAAGACATAGACATACACACACACACACACACACACACACACACACACACACACGTAGATGTAACCAACCATCTTATTAAATAAGAAACATGGAACCAATGCAAAGAAGAAAGCCAAGAGGTCAGAGCTAAGAGCTAAAACCTTACCCTTCCTCCTGCAGTGGTCCTACCTCTCCGAACCAGAGATACTTCCTGTGTGTCTGTCTTTTTATAGTGTTTCTGTTCTGCCTTCTCATTGGTTGTAAACCCAACCACATGACTACCTCGTCACGGCCTGTCTGTATAGATCTCCAGGTTTTCTATGATTGGTATTGAGATTAAAGGCATGTGTATCCAATACTGGCTGTATCCCTGAACACACAGAGACTTACCTAGCTCTGCCTACCAAGTACTGGGATTACAAACGTACACCACCAC